CCCCACGGGAGAACCTATCCATGTGCATGAGTCCTGTGCATCTCCGAGTGAGAGCTGGGCCCATGCCATGCAGAACAGTTTCCTACAGCTCATCATATATGCATTCTCTCCACTTCACTTCACTTTATCCAAACTATACTTGCCACTCTTTCACTTATGTGGGCTTTGGTCATTTTGACCTTCCCATAAGTCTACTTCTATAACTTAACTCCTACCTCAAATGTAACGTACTTCAATAAACCTTCTTAGTACCCCAGGTACCCTCTGGAATCACTCTGTACCCACAACATATATTACAAGACCCCGGAGGTTAGGCTCTGATTTGATATATATTTATAAACCCCTCTCTAGTGTCTAGAAAGGTGTTTTATATGTAGTAGCTACTTTACTAAATATTTGTTGAATGAGTAAAATAATAAATCAATGATTGAGTCTAGTTTAGACACATCAGAGGGACAACCCATAGAACTGTCCACCACCCAGCTCAAGAAACGGGTCAGGACTACAGATGCACATTGGGCATGTGTAGTCACAATGATTCAGTGATAAATTACAGAAAAGAAAAAATTAAAGGTGTAGTCTCAGGAAAACCAAAAAGAGAGTGATGACAAACACCCCTAAAAGCATTAATGCTACAGAAAGACAGAAGAGGTTGAAGACATAAAGGTTGCCACTGATTGTGGTCATTTGAAGGTTCCTGGTAACCTCCTAGCAAGTAAGGGTTAGGGGCAGAAGTGAGGCTGGAGCTAAGGTATGAGTAAAGAATGATAAAAAAAATATGACTATTCTTTCAAGAAGATTGACAAAAAAAAAGGAGAAAGAATCATAGTTTCAAGGGAGTTTGGAAGCAGGTGTGAAGATAAAATAACAGAGAAAAAGGTGGCTCAGCAGGTAAAGCATGACACAAGCATACAACTGTCATCCCTGCTACCACTAAGCAACGAAATGGGGTGAAAGAGGACATGGGGACTAATCAAATTCTATTGCTTACTTACCTGAGTGGTCCTGGAAAACTCATTTCCCCTTCTCCTAGCTAACCTATCAGATTATTCTAACAGTATGAGTTAATAAGTGCAAAGGAATTTTAGAAGGGCTTACCACTTTGTATAAAAGCCTTACTATTGTAATAAATGGTTTGTAATCTTGAACAGATGTTTGTAATTTTTCATTCTCTCTCTCTTTTTTTAATCCTCACCTGAGGGCATATCAATTGATTCCAAAAAAGGAGACAGAAATATAGACAGACATAGACAGACAGAAAGACAGACAGAAACATCGATGTGACAGGAACACTGATGATCAGGTACCTCCCGAACACCCCCTGACAGGGAACTGAACCCACAACCCAGTCATGTGCCCTTATTGGGAATCCAACCCCTGACCTTTTGGTTTATGGGACAATGCTCCAACCAACTGAGCCATACCAGCCAGGGCTCATTTTTCATTTTTACTCATCAGTGTGACAGAGAGAAGCTGAAATTCCCTCATATGTAATATTGATCTACTTATTCCACTCCCAGTAAACAGGGCTAAGACAATCACAAAGAGATAGAGAAAGGCTGGTTAAACTCAGGGTATACAGAGTCAAGGCAACAACGCCAACCCTTCCAACCCCTTTCTACAAACGTTGCAAATTTCCTAAAGTAGAGGACATTAGTAAAGAGCTACCTCCCCTCAGGTGGATGAAGAACTGCCAAGAGCTCATATCATAAGTGAGTGTGCCTGTTGCTTCTGTCAATCTGGTCTGCCTTGGCAGGGACATTATGCTTACCTCAAGGTGTCAGTTCAGAGATAGGCTTCAGTAGAATCATCACTGACCTCATGACTTTCTTGAAAAAGAAAATGGAATTGTGTACTTAAATAAAGTTTTTGTAGCTCCTGGGTTATCTCGTTCTGGGTCTTCCCCACCCCAAGGAAATGACAGAAGCTCAGTGGTGATCTTTCACACTCAAACCATGTCAGGAGACTTTCCACCTGAAGGGGCGACTGCCTCTGAATATTGCTATGTTCAGGGTCAGTGTACACACGTCTAGTAGTTTTCATTATAATCATCTTTGCCACAGCATTTTCATCGCACAACTAATTAACCATAAGGAAATTTCACCATAAAAGATAAAAGAACAAAAACTAAAAGGGAGACATTAAAAAGAACACAATGAAACATGAAAAAGTAATAAAATTAAAAAGACTATTGCAAAAAATGAAAATACATTGCCTTTCAAGTGTTTTGTTCAAGTACACATTTTTTTTTGCTTGGTAATTTGTCTCCTCATTCAGAATTGCACTTATCTTTTTTCACTAACGTTTCATTAAGAGAGGTATCAGTTTCCAACTAAAGAATAATGTTCTCGAAGACTGTTGTGAATTAGTAGCTGCCTCTGTCATGTTTGCCACAGCTGGGTAAACCTGGTTTTGATGGGTAGCTTTGATGGGCTCTGTTATACTCACCAAAAAAAAAAAAATACACAAAAACTGATATGTTATTATTTTCTAGTACAGTATGTAATCCAGCTAAGATTTATATAATATAAAAATGGGACTACTGCAAGAAATTTGCGAATGGAGAAATGAAACCAAACTGTCAAGTAATTATTTTGAAGAAATGAAACCAAACTGTCAACTAATTATTTTACCTTTTATGGTGAAATTGTCTCACTGCCAATGAGCTGTGTGGTGAAAATGTTTGTTGTGAAAATGCTCATAACAAAAATGCTTGAGGCAAAGATGTTTATAGTGAAACTACACATAACCCAGTGTAACATTTCCTCAAAGCATTTGTGAGTGGAATACACTATTACACAGAAGGTATATTTGCAATAGGAGGTATCTTTGCAGATCACAGGTGGCATACTAAGGATGCTAACAAAACGGTATAGGAAGAAACTAGGCAGAAGTGTCCATTAAGGCAGTTTACAAATGACTTTCCTTCACATAGAATTTATTCTCTTGTTCAATGGCAAGAAATGATAAACAGTGATTTAAATTGATGAGTAATGCAAAAGTCACCTGCATTTATCTTTTAAGATCATTGTATTTTTTAAAAAACCTTCCCAACTGTTTGGCTTAGGGTAACATTAAAATTAATTTTCATTCCATGAGTGCATCTGGAGAGACTATCCAGACACCTCTTCTATTAAAAGAAACTAACAAATTACGAGAGAAATCCACATGCAGATGTTGTCTGTATTTTTAAAAATTAAACTTTGTTGTCAGTATTCATATGGTTATAAGAAAACAAACAGTATCAGTATATGTAAAGCTAGTAGCCTTAAGGCACATTAGAGTGATATGATAAGGGTTAAAAGAAGTGGGATTCTATGCAGAAGGCTCACTACTTTTAATAAAAGTCAGTCTACTGAAATCAAGCAAAATCGTTAAGGTGATAACAGAGAAAAAATCGCATTTCTTACAAAGGAGAGAGATGATATAACAAACCAAATATATGAGACAATCATTAATGCTTTTATAATCCTCACAAACATACAAATGACCCAATAGCAAATGCTGATGTATATGTGATGGAGGATGGAGAATAAACAGTGAGACCAAAGACCTCTCTTTGGTACAATCACCTTTGTTAAATCAACAAATATTTTCTGAGTGCCTATTAAGTGTACCAGGCTCTGTTCTCTAAACTGAGAATACCACAGTAAACAAAACAGACAAAAATCCTTGCTCATATGGAGATTAGGGCATAGTGAAGGACTCAAAACATGTGACTTTGAGCAAGACATGTACTTGGGTGACTAAAGGGTTTGTTACAGAGAAATCAAGACAAGAAAGACTGCTAACACAAATTGAACACATACACACAGAGACAGTACAAAATGAAGGCTGTTGATGACAGTGAAACTTAATATATATGCAGAGAGCACTTTCTCATATTTTTAAAGTGTTTTTGCTAAAATCAAATACCAGCAACTACTTTCCTCTGATGTAACTTGATACTAGAGGACTATATGTATAAGCAAACAAAAAAATCTCAGATGACCACTGTTACATGATGAACTGGGATGGAACCACACTGTGCAACCAACAAGTACATACTAGCAGTTTCTGCTGGATAAATACTTTAAAAATAAACAAATTAACTGATAAACTCTGTAATTTATCTGGAAATATATTTCAGAAATGGAAGAAAAGTATTAATTACACCAAAGGAGTTTTTGCAATTATAGAAACAGGGTTATAGAGTAAATTTAGGCAGATATCTCTGCATATGGGGTAGTTTCATATATTTAGTCCAACAATTTGCTGAAATGTGACTCTGCCATTTTTCCAGTCAGCATAGTGTACCTTTGCCATGTTACTAAGCGACTTCAACTCTGACAAGAGATTGAGGGATTATTCTTGGGAAACAGATTGCACTCTTTGAGGGCTGTACATTAAATAAATGTATAAAAGCGAAGCATAAAAAAATACAAGCAGGCATAATGCATACACCGGAATCAAACAAGGAGGGAGACAAAACTTGCAGTTGAAACGTTCCAGGTCACCAGTTCTGTCCACTGAAAAAGAAACTCGAAGAACTTCACTATCCAGAGACTTAGAACATACACTCGGCTCCCCCAAGTTTTAAATGACTGTCCACCTAGAAGAGAAGTAGTGACGGTTCCTTCTAGACCCATTCAAGACCCGGGGGTCGAATCCCCTAGCTTTAGACGGGTGGGACTGGCACATACACCTAAGGCAAAGGAAAAGGAACAGATCCGAAGCTCCAGTTGAAAGCAAAACACAAAGTTTACGAAGCTGGTGGAAGGGAGGCGGAGAAACCACAGCCAGTAAAATAAGTAACTAATAGGAAAGCAATACAACGTCGGAGAACCCACCGGGCCATCTACACCACTCAAACGGGCAGGAGTGGAAAGCCGCAAGGGCTGGGATCTTCGAGCTCCGGCACTCTACACCCAGCCCGCAGCAGATGATGGGGAGCAGTTCCTGGGAACCCCCTCCCACCAACCCCGCCCACTGGGTCCGCCCTGTCCCGCCCCGCTACTCACCGGATTTGCTTCCCACATAACGGAGGCGAAATTGAGCGGAGGAGAGCCTGGTGGAAGGGGCTAGCCGCAGACCGAGGTGTTGGTTTTTTCCTAGGGTGCCCGGGAACGAAGGATTGGAGAGGCAACCTTTACGCAGGCCTTCCTTCTCCCCGCCCTGTCACAAGCCAGCGTCTTTGGACTACCGAACCTCCCAACTTCCGCCCAAAGCGTTGGCCCCGCCCCCCCCCCCGGAAGCTCGTCCCTCCCCTGCCGCTCCCTTCCGGACACTGGTGGCGGGTCTTAATGGGAGGAGCTTGTGAGTATCTGGGTTGTAACAGAGTTTAAAGGGTTTCTAGTCCAACCACAGTTTTAGTGTTAATGCCCAATACAACATCCCCATCAAATGATCTTCGAGTCACGGTTGGTTGTATTTCTTTCGATAGTTGTTGGTCACCGTATACTGAGTGTAGGGCCTGGGAATTGATCGCAGTACAACCAGTGACATTGGGACAAGCTTCATAATCTAACTGGTAGTTTCCTAATCTTCAGAATGGAGATAATAACAGCTTCAGTATGTACCTAAGAATGTAGTGGCATCGTCTAAAGTACCTAGCACAGTATTTGGCATAAAGCAAGAACTCAAGTAGTGGCAGTTGTTTGCCAGGCACTGCTAGGCTCTCCAGAGGACCAGATTGACCCAAATGCAGTCCATGCCATCATGGAGCTGAGAGTCTAAAGAAAAAAGCAAAAAGTAATACAGATAAATAAAAAGGTGCAGCATGGTGTATAGAACATACCAAGCACAGGGTTCTAAGAGATCATGCTTACTTAGGAGAGGTGTGTGCTCCCATCCCCTCCTCCCCATAAGAAGTATAAGGATGTACTCCTGCTGAAGTTACCTGGGTAAAAGAGCTAAGAGAGGGGATGAATCTTCTAGGCAAAAAATAGAATCTACCCTTTGGAAATACAAAAGAAACAGTTTGCTATAGATCCTCCTGGGCTTTTCTATACCATTGCACATTAAAAAAAAAAGAGTACCTGTAGACTTAAAACATGACATTATTTTCACTTAATATGATGCGGATAGTCTTCATTCTGATACACATAAATGTATTTCATCGTTGTAAAGTCATCATTTTAAAGACTTACATCATTCCATAGTTTGTTACACACACACATTTGAAATAATCCATCATGATAGACATTTAAGTGGTTTTTTTAATTTCTTACTATTTCATAAAAATTCAACAGTAAACATTTTTGTACTAACACTTCTGTACATTTGTCCATTTACCTCCTTGGAACAAGTTCTAAGAAATGGAACTGTTCAATAAGGAAGTATGTAAATTTCAAACTTTGATACATATTACCAAATTACACTAAAAAATATCATATTATGTATATTTTCAATCTCTAATTTATTCTTATAAATGAATTGAGGTAGGGATCTTCATTTTATGTTAACCAATCACCCCAATAACACTTTTTAAATAATCTATTCTTTCCCCACTTTAAAGTGCCACCATCAATCAAAAACTAAATTTGTGTGTATCTGTTTCTGAACATTCTCATCTATTTTATTAGCTCTCTGCCATTTCCTGTGCTATGCCATACTTATTATAAGTTGATAATATATTTGTTTTCTCATAAAGCAAGTCTCCTAATGCTATTTCCAATATTTCAAAATCATGAGTCCTCTTATTCAGGAATACATGTCTTGATGTGCTTAGGTCTTTCATATGTTAAATAACACAAAAATTTCTTGTAGATTTGTACAATTCTTGTGAAATTTGTTCCTAGATATTTTATAGGGTTTTTTTTTGTTATTGTGAATAGGGAAAACTATTGATTTTTGTGTAATCTTGTATCCTACCATACTGTGAAAATTTCGTATTAGTCCTAGTAGTTTGTCACCTGATGTTTCTGAATTTTATGTCAATAATCACATCACCTACAAAGAATTCAGTTTTCTATCTTCCTGTTGCATTGCCCAAAACCTCAGAAAATTTTTGAAGAATGCAGGATAAGATAATGGGCATTCAGTCTTTAGTGCAGTAAGACAAGCATTTGCCCTTTGTTGGTGCTAGATATTCTTTAAACACACCATTGCCTTTGAAGAATTCCTAGTTTATACACCATTCCTAGTTTATTATTAGCTTTTAATTAGTAAAGGGTATTAAATTTAATCAACTTTCTCATAAACTTTATTACTGTATTTATTTTTTACTCTGACTTATTAATATAATGAAATATATACTAGTAGATTTTCAAATGTTCAACTCATCCTTACAGTCTTGAAATAAACTCTCCATCATGTATTCATTAGTCTTTGACTACACTCCTGGCTTCAATTTGTTAGTCTTTTATTTAGGATTAAAATTTATTCATAATTAATCAAAGTGGTCCATTGTTAATGGTGCTTTTTGTGATTGTCTTTAGCAAGTTTTGTTAAGTGAACAGTAACAGTTTAAGTAATTTAGGATTAGCTCTTCATCAAAGGTGGAGTGGAATTTTACAAAACAAGTTTAACTGGAAAGATTGGGACCAGGTCCTCAACCTTTTGTGGTCGGGCCTATATTTCATTTCCCAGAAGACTCCAGGTTGCCTGAGCTGGTGGTCAGAGAATGATGGGTTATGGAGAACACAACTGGTTTAGATACATATATCAGGAGGATAACTTTTCAGAATATACTGCTATATCCCAAAGGAATATGGAGGAAACATATTTCATAAACTGAAAACAGATGTGCAAATTTTAGATAATTTTTTATTATTCTTTATTTAAAACCACTTAGAGAGCAAGTGTGGGAATGGGCCTTACTGATCATTTAGGCCTGGGGTTGCAAACTGATAGCTAAGGAGCTTTAGTACACACAGAGTATTTAAAAATGTTTTTTTAAAGCAGGAAATTTCACATTAAACAATATGGATCTCCAGTTTTTTTTAGACATTGTATTCTCATATGCCAACAAGTGGCCAAATCCTGTGGACCCATGTAGACTGGAAGTGGACTCTCAGGTTTACCTGAGTTAGCAGGCCAATATTACTCATCCTCATTTAAATGACCTGGGGCTTATGTATTTGGGTTTGTATTAAGTATAATCCGCCTCTTACTTTGCTGAGGAAATGTAATGGATCTGGGACTTATAAATATCCTTATAGAAAATACCTTCTTAGCACTCTCTCGTACCTTTCTCAAGGGTGGGCTCAATCATTGGGGCTCAGACTCTCCCACTTTCAATAGGTTATTCTCTGCATGTAATGCCTGAAATGTTGCCTATTACAGAGTCTGGCACTGGGAATGCTTCCGCCTGCATTATAGTTCTTGGCAATATGCCACAGAGCAGAAAGTATGCATACTGACCACGGTCTCACTAGTTTTCTCGGGAAGACCAAACAAATGGAAGACATTTTACTTTATCTCTCATGTTTTCTGTGTGTGTTCTGGAAGGAAATGTCTTAAACCCTGCTAAGCCCAGTCCTAGGAGCCTGGGTGACTACAACCCCAATCCCACCTGGTGGAGTTTATTAAATCTTTGAATGCCAGGAGGGGTGGGAGGAAATGCCCCAGGGGAAAGGAGAGAGAAGATGAGCAGAGAACTATCACTGGAAAGCATGAACATAATCAGAAAGCAGGTAGTTGAGCAGCAAAGTGGATTTGGGGGTTGGGAATCAGTCTCCTATAAAGACAATAGGAGAAAAGAGAACCAAGTAAGTGGTGAGATACAGGATATAGCACATATTATTCCAGTGTTATGTTCATAATTGTTTTAATTTTTAAAGGCCACATTTACAGCCAGAAATGGAGCACTAGGAATGCATGTGGAAGACAGGCTGGATTTGACATAAAGGAGGAGCAGGAGACTAGAAGAAAGTGCAAAAGGAGAGAAGGGGTGCAGGAGCAAGGGAGAAAAGAGCTTCATTTGTGCCCATCAGCCTTGAATATAAAGACCCAGCCTCAGCCTGAAACAGAGCCAGCAGTGAGGCAGCCTTAGAATCAGCCCTGCTGCTGAGGTCTGACATGTGAACAACCCAGCAGGAATTAAAGAGGTGAAATCAGCAGATGAAACACTTGCTGAAGCCAAGATAAGCATTCCTGGGTAGGAATTTTTCAAAAAATCAAAATGAATCCTGTAAATCTTCCTAATTAGGAAACATGACAAGAAACTAAATTCAACCAAAAAAAAAAATGAAGTGCTGAATAACACACCCACACTAAATGGAAAGGCTCTATTGAAAATACCACTGATTATTAGTTTTCGCTGCTCAAGGAAATTATCTCGGCACAATGATGGGCATCAACATGCAGCTCACAGCAGCAGTCAAAAGCAGCAGCTGAGATGTGTGGCCATCCTAATTAGAGGAGGGAGAATTCTGAAAAGGCTCTGGAGCTGTGACATTCCTGGCTGAAGCTTTCCTTCTAGGAATGCCACATAAGGGTTTTGGTCATCACATTGTAAAAGGGAACTTAATAGGAATGATCTGGAAAAGGACAGTAGAACTGCCTTGGGAAAGAGTGCTAGAAGCTTTGAGGCTAAAGGCAAAAAGCAGGAAAACACTTCCATAAGAAATCATTTTCAAACCAAGAGAGAGGGAGGCAAGTAAAAGCCTATGGTGGTGGAAAGGGCTGCTGGTGGGGTATTGTTTGCACTTAGGTCATTCCAGGCATTCCAGGTAATTACCTGTTCCTTGTGAGCACATCCAGGGAGCTTGAGAAATTACAGCAGATTATCTAGTATGAATTATTCTTCTACTCACTCAGCAAATATTTAGCAAGTACCCTCCATGTTCCAGGCACTGTCTCTAGCCTATTAGGATAGGTCAGTGAAGAAGATGGAGGAAAATTCCTGCCCTTGTGGAATCTATATGCTGGGTAGTGGGGGTGGGAAGGCCCTGGGCTGGGAATGGGGGGAAACACGTAATGTAGTGTAACAAACATTGTGTAGATGCTGTAAGATAATAAGAACTATAAAAAAAACATAGATCAGGTAAGGGATATTGAGCGTAGTCAGGATGGTCCTCATTGAGCAAATAGCATTTGAAGTAAAATCTGGAGGAGGTAACAGAGCAAGCTTAATGGATATCAGGCAAAAAGTATTCCATGCAGAGGAAACAGCTGGTATGAAGTCCCTAGGAGTGTGTGTGTGTGTTGGAGAGGGAGGAGGAGAGATGTACCCCCATATAACAATTAGCAAATATTTACACTAAGT